ATTGACTTTTTCTTGTTTTATTTTCATGCTAGCTTGACCTGCCAGTGAGTGATGATGCCCTTCTGGAAATAGGGCAATTGGAAATTAAACACTTGACTGAGTAGAGTACTCCCTGCAGGTAAAAAAATCAAGCTGTTTTATTTAATGTTATAGTATTACAATACAATACCGTGAGCCTGGTTCCTCACGAGATGGTTAAGTTTAACCCAGGATTAAGCCAAATTTTAAGCAAGGTTTTCTCATCTACGAATATGCAACACAAGCTTACAAAATACTGTCAAGCCTTTACATACTCTGAGATACAGTAATGATAACACAAAATGTTACTCTAAGCAATACATATATAGGAAGGTAAAAAACAAAAACGGAGCAAAATTTTGATCCTAGATTAGCGCTTATTGGCCTTCAAGAACCGGGCCTTGGGTCTTAAGATAATTTCCTGATCTAATTAGTTAAGCCAGCTTAAAAGTGACAACAGTAAACAGTGTTGCAAAATTAAAGTAAAGTTTAGATGATTATTCATACCAAATTTTATGACTAATAAATATATAATTAATAAGACCAAAAAAGTACTTAAGCCTGGGAAATTTACAGTTGGTTAAGGTAGAGGCTTATAATTTATCAGAAGCATATTTAGAAATTTCAGAGAGGGGTGGCTAGGACACTTGCCAGCCATATAGATACTATTTATTTTATGGAAAAATTATTTCAAAATGATACAAAATTTCACTGAAAAAGATCAGAGGCGGCGACGATCCACTTGGCCAACCTCAAATCACCTCAATATTATACCCAAATTGCAAACAATAAAATGCTGCCAGCCAGATGCTGTACATGTGTCAAAGCTGCTTAAAATGTTAGAAAACGAGAAACCTACAAGTAGCCTGTGAGCAAGCTCTCCGGGGCGCTCAGGAAAAGGAATTTGAATTCCACCTCCAATTCCCCTGTTGTCCCTGTTGACTGAGCTCTCAGATTTCTGCCAATCATGGTGAAGCATGAACGAGCACAACTGTAAAAAACCGTTGAAACACATGTGCCAAGTTTCATGACAGGTGCACAATTGTACCTTCATGGTTTTAACCTATTTACCAACACATGTATGTCAAGAGGAAGGTGCAAGAACAAACAAACTTTTGGAAATAAATAATAAACATACAATATCGGCTTTTTTGCTTAACAAAACAGCTGAAATTCTCTACCCGAAAGCACCAAGGAATTTCCAGGGCAATGTGAAGAGATTTTTCCCTAAATCACCTTTTAAAAAGTTAAATTTGGCAAAAAAATATTCAGTCTTAATAAGGTGAACTTATAGATCTATTCCCATTTAGTTCTATTAGTTGGAATATAAAATACTTGTAAAGAAAAGAGGGAAAAAAGGGTACTAGAGATTATGTGAGTTGCAAGTCTGTGTGTTTCCTTGCCAAGAGGATAATTTCCCACTGTATGATTAACACAATGCTTACAACAAGGAGCCCAAAAGTGTGACCTCCTTTAATTAATTCACATTCTTTCATGAAGGCATGAACCAATCGGAAGTCAAGGACAGTTTCCAGCTGGCTTCTGATTGGATTAAATGAATAAATTAAAAGCGGTAACACTTTTGGGCGCCTTGCTGTAAGAATTTGAAAGTACAATGTCCATGTAATGTATCTGCCTTGAAATATATCTGTCTGTTGGAATATAAAATGTCTAATAATGTTTCCTGCCTTTCTTATAGATGCAAGGATGTAAAATAGTTAGACTAAGAGACAGGGAAGAAAGGGAAACACCCACTCTAGCACTTGCAGGGTTATGTGAATTCCAATAAATGAATAAATGCTCAAAATAACTCAGAAGTTATTTTCTGGAGAGGTCCACAAACTGTTATTCAGTGTTAATTGACAAGAGAGAATTTAACAGTCACCAATACAATATTCTCTATTGAATTGCTTTGAGGCAGTTGTGTGTGGGCTTTATGACGTTTCAAACAATCGATTAAAATGTGTGGATGTCTCAGGAATTAGACTTCTGTTTAATTACAACCTCTAAAATTAACTTTTGTGAAATTCATATAATATTATCCCAGCCAACACCAGGTAAGATTCCCTCTCTGATCTGTCACATTATTCTCTCTTGATCAGACTTGAAATTCTTCTTGTAAGATGCAATACTGTTTACACCATACTGTAATATTTTTTTTAGAGATTACAAAGAGGGATATTATGTTCTGAATGTTACCTTGGGTGGAGGATCAGTGATCAATACTTGCCTGGTAAGTTACATTTAATAGCTGTTGTACAAAACTGAATAAAATTTTGCTTGTGCAAAACCTGGGTGCATGCTTAAAGAAAAATATGGGATTAGTTTCTTATCATTACTATAGAATGTTAAATATAATAAGTCATACCTTTCCTCTGTGCTATCCCGCTCTCCCTCCCCCTTTTTTCTGCCAAAGTGGATGGGGTGAAATTTAATGCTCTTGGTTGGCCTTCACTGGGTCAATGGTAGTGTACATTAAATGAAGGGGGCGAGTGAAAAAGAGCCACAAGCTTGGACAAAGTCTGTTGAGACGTCACTTCATAAAAATGCACATTTTTTGCATCTTACCTGACAAAAATGCTTACCATGGCCAATTGAATGACCGTTTCCTACTCCCCTCTTCCAATGTTGTTTGTGGTAACACCAGAAAAACTTAATACATGTAGCTGTTAGACCAAAACTGTGTTGAACGCGGGTGGGGAGGGGGTGACCTTGTTTCATTCGAGGTGATTGTAGTGTGGCGTGTTATTTGAAAATACCTAGAAATGTCTTGAGTTTTTTTTTCTGGGGTTGTAACTTTGAAGAGAACACTTGCTATTTTTGTGAACTTGGTGGACAAATTTCAGATGTTTAAAGCAAATGACAAAAATTGCACTAAATTTTAAGTTTTGCAAGTGCATGGTTCATAGCCACTTAGGTATGGGTGCAGTGGCCAAGTTGGTATTGGGTGTTACCCCTTAAGCTAAAGTGTTAGGCAAACAGTGTGCAGTGATAGTTGGGCTAACTTTGTGAGCCAAAAAGATTCTGTGCTCATGCTCAACCTATTTCATTTCTAAACATTGAATCTCAGTTGCGGATCCAGGATTTTTCTCAGGAGGGGGCATGGTTCGCACGGGTCTTGAAAAGTCCTTGAAAAAGCATCATGTCCTTAAAAATTGAAAAATTGTGGGATATCCTTGAAAAGTCCTCGAATTTTACACAGAAGTAGTTGCATATTTTTGAAAGCTCCTTGAATAAAAATAAACCTTTGTTAAAAAAAGTGTTTTGCAGAAAGGAAAGATTGAAAGCACAGCTGTACACAAATTTTCTTGGTTATCATTAAAGTGTGTTTTCTTATGATTTCAATGTTCCCAGCATAGTTCATTTTTCGTTATTTGAAGTACCCTAGGAACCGTGCCTTCCTGGGGGAAGGTAATGCAATAAGGAAACCCCACACCACCTACGAATTTGAAAGGTCTTTACTTCATGTCATTCTATGTCAAATTACAAGAAAAAGAAGTCCTTGAAAAAATTATAAGTCCTTGATCCCCCCCCCCCCCTTCAAAAAAAAATTTTGTATGAACCATGAGGGGGGGGACCACTAAGGAATGGAGTAACTGACGGGTGACGTAAAAAAATTTTAACCCAGATTACCAGTTGTGTTAGAAAGCCGCAGGACATCCCAGGGGGGGGGGTGTAGGTGACGTGCGTTCGCTGGGGGAAGAAATGCAAAAAAGAAAACCCCCACACCCCACCAAATTTGAAAGGTTTTATTTCAATTCATTCTATGTCAAAATAAAAAAAAAAAAAAACCTTTAAAAAAATATAAAGCCCTTCGTCCCCCCCCCCCCCCTTCAAAGAAAAATTCTGTATGAACCATGAGGGGGTGGACCACTAAGGAATGGAGTAACTGACTGGTGACGTAAACAAATTTTAACACAGATTACCAGTTGTGTTAGAAAGCCGCAGGTCATCTCAGGAGGGGGGGTGCACACCCCCTGCACCCTCCCCCTAGATCCGCCCCTGAATCTTGTTCACTTCAGCTGGGATCCTGCTTTTTTTCTTTCAATGGTGGCATATTTTTTCTGTATATTTGCAACTCCGAAGTATTTTAAATGACGTCTTCGTGGCAAACCATTGTTTGTGGAATACCACAAGGTTCAATCAAAATTATCCCGAAATCAAATTTGACCTGTAACATATATCATAATATTATTTTTTTAATAGTACAAAACAAAAAAAATCGATATCTGAATCTGAAATGTCAGTTTCTATCTGAAGACTTATGGTATGTGTTTTTGAAGCTGTTTCTTATTAAACTCATTGTTCGTGCTTTATTAAGTGTGAAGCACTCAGCTGCACCATGTCTTTTCAAATTAATAAAGCATTCCTGTTTGTTTAAGTCTACGAAAAACGTTTATAGATTCTATGTGGATTTAGAGTGCCTATTTGAAAGACAAATTTTTGCCCTAGATTCTTCTGGCTCTCCATGTTGCTTTGTTGCACATGTAGGGAGAGACCGCAGAATGCCAGGTGTTGGCTAGAAAGACCGGAAGCATAAATTGTTGAGCAACTGGTTTCAACCTTGACAAACTTTAATAACCCTTATTACATGGGTCTTTATCATTTCTTTGAAAATCGTTGAGATGTTCGCATAAACGTTTTCCCGGTTTTCCACCTGTTTCGTCCTTTTTTTTTTATTTTAGTATTATTATTTTTCTTTTCGTGGAGATGCATGTTCATTCACCTTCTTTAAGGACCCCCATCTTTTTGTTTTATCGGGTATGTCTTTTCTTTTGTGGCCTTACTATGGTTCATGAAATGAGTAGAAAAAAGTGGATGACTTAAACCAAATGAGTATTTCATTCTATGCGTAACCTATTAAGTTAATGGCCTTAATGGAAGAAGGAACACATGTCTGTTTAACTGTCTTTCTTTTTCGTCCCACAATGTAGGTACAGTTGGCGGATTAAATCCTGAATAAGCTTATCGTCTCTGCCAAAATGGCGGAAGCATCACCATCACCTTTATCCAGCTCTACTGCAACAGCAAATGGAAGCAAATTATTAAGACTTCTTGTTGATGGTGGAACAGCAGCTCTAAGAGAATGTCTGAATAAAATTTATCCAGCTTCCAAACCGGTCAACTTCCTCAAAGCAAAACGGGAGAGATTAAAGAAGCTCTTAGACGACCGAGTTTTAAATAGAGATCAATGGTACCAGCTTTACCCAAAAGATGGAAGTGACCCAGACCCTGAAAAATTTGACATAAGTCTACTTTTTCTTCTTCTCACTGAAATATGTGGATTAGAGCCCCCCCGCCGCACAGGCTGGAACAACATGCCGCAAGCAAAGGACAGATCCCTGTCAGCGAATCTTGTTCGTTTAAAGCTTTTTCGTAATAAGCTGCTTCATCGACCTAACACACATTTTGAAACAGAGGAATTTCTTGATCTCTGGAAAAAACTGAGCGGTGTTCTTTGTTCTCTTGGTCTGTCTTCATCAGACATAGAAAAGTTGAAACTGGAGAGTTACGAGGGAGAAAATTATGTTGAAATTTTACTGAAGTGGGCTGACTCCGAAGAAGATGTCAACAGAAGGCTTAAAGCAATGCATGATACCCAAATCGAAACACGTAAAGCTGTAAAGGGATTGGAGATGACAAGACAGCAGGACCAGAAGACCCTTCAAGATATTAAGTCAAATGTGGATGAACTACTTCAAATCCAAAGAACCCGTCAAGATACACACCAAACCGTTAGTAAAGCGCAACAGACGCAAATGGAAGCCACCAATTTGCAGCAAGAGGATCATCAAACTCTTCAAGATACACAACAGGCAGTTGGCAATTTACCACAGATGCAAAAAGAGGCAGTGAAATTGCAGCAACTGGAGCACAGAATTCTTGAAGATACGCACCAGGTAGTTGAACGTGTACAGCGGTCTGTACAAGATACACAACAGATGGTAGAGGAAGTTTTAAGAACCCAACAAGAAACGCAGCAGCAGATCAAGGATGTAGCTGCAGACACTAAAGAAAGAAGAGATAATGGTAAAGAAGATGAAGCACTGAAAAAATTGGCAAAAGTTGATACCGAGGGAGTCATCCAGTATCACTCTAGCAAATACCAGGAGGGAACGCGCTTGCACATTTTTGAGAAGATCAAGTTGTGGCTAGACGACCGTACTTCTGAAAATCGTGTTATGGTAATCAGTGGGGATGCAGGTATGGGCAAATCAGTGATTTCCGCTGTCGTTTGTCAACGAATGCGAAATGCTGGTCGTCTGTCGGGAAGTCACTTTTGTCAGCACGACAAGGCGTGTCACAGAAATCCTAAGATAATGCTTCAATCGTTAGCTTATCAGCTGAGTGAGCTTTTGCCACAGTATAAAAGAGAACTTGTAAAAGCACTGTCAAGAAACTTGGGTGAAGAAATCAACAACCTAGAGGTTGGAGAGCTGTTTGAATTGCTGTTCGAAGAGCCTTTAAGAAAGGTAGATGACCCTGGTAAAAGCTTGCTCATGGTGATTGATGGCTTGGATGAAAGTGACTACAAAGGCCGCAATAAGCTGCTTGATGTCATTGATAATCACTTTTTTGCTCTTCCTGTCTGGTTTCGGTTTTGTGTTACAACTAGACCGGAAATAATAATTGCAAAGCGTCTTCAAAAGCTTAATCCTCTTCATCTACAGCAAGATGATGAAGAAAATGTGAGAGACATCAGAATCTTTTTTGAAACACAGCTGGGCAACGTCATTCAGTCGGGCAGTGAAGAAGTTGTTATCGATGAACTGGTCCGAAAGGCTGATGGACATATTTTATATGCTTATTTGATGGTCGATTCTATCAAGAAAAACGTTTTATGTCTCACCACTGACGAGTTAGGAACAACTTTACCCACAGATGTTTCAGGATTTTATGAATCCTATTTTGAACGTTTGAAGGGGGAATTGGAAAAAAATAAGGAATTGACGATCACTGTTGACCAGTTTTTTACTTTTCTTAGTGCTTTGGTGGCTGTAAGAGAACCTCTTCCACTAGACTTTGTTTCTAAGTTGCTACTGTCAGACACAAAGTCTCCAGCTGGTTACTGGCAAGTAAGGAAGACTATCGAATGTATCTCAACCCTTTTACCTGTTCAAGATGGTTGCATTCATTTCTTTCACAAATCAGTGAAGGACTGGTTGACTGACAGAGCTCCCGACATGTACAGCATGCCGCACAAATTCTATGTGAACGAAAAGCGTGGACACCTTGCTCTTTCTCAGCGGTGTGCGGACGAACTTGATGATGTCAAAAGAAAAAGTATTCACGGCACAGATTTCAGTGAAACTGCAAAGTACGCCATACAGCATGGTGTTTACCATATGCTTGAGTCGGAGGAGGTGAAAGAGAGTACAAGAGGCTTTGAAGAAATAGTTAACAATTTTGTTATTGACTTAGCCATGGTTTATGCAAAGCTTCGTGTACACAACACAGCTAGTTCTGAAGACATTATCCTTTCTCAAAAGCAAAAAGCTTTTTATTTATTGAGCAGTGAGAGTCAAAACGCCCTTCGCACGTTGTTGTTTCTTTTAAGAAAGTACCACGAAAGGCTTGCAACGAATCCTTCTGGTTTTTTCCAAGTGATGGTGAACGAAGGAGGAGACGTTTTGGCAGGTGAAGCGACAGAACTTTTACAGACCAAATATCATGAAATACCTTACATGGAGTACATTCACAAGGGGGCTATAGAGGAGGAGATGGAGGTCCAGGCCATGTTTCGCTGCACCTCTCAAGTGGCCTGTTTTGATATCTCCCCTCAGCAGGAGTTCATGGTGTGCGAATGTATGGATGTAACGATTCAACTTTGGTCACTACAGACAGGGAAGCAAATATGGAAACGCCCAGTCACGGTCGAAAAACGTTACGTTGATGACCTTGACGCGTTCAGGGTGGTACCCAACTCATCTGTTTTGTCATGTTATCGCTCCGTTATTTTTCACCCTACTAAGCCTATTGTTCTTCCTGGAATCCTAAGCCATGCCTACTCAATTGACGGAGATTTTCTACCACTCTTCCGTAATAGCAACTGCAAATTTACAGTTTGTTCAGTCAATGGGGATAGCATGATTACAGATTTCCCTGGTGATGCAAAATGCCTTGTCATGTGGAGTCTAAAAAAAGGCGAAGAGATCACTCGAACTATCAGAGATCAGGTTGTTTTGTCTTTTGCCTGGTCTCCAGATCGAAAGCTACTGGCAATTTCTCATCTTCCGGGTTTGGTTTGTCTGGTTGATGCATTGAATGGCTTCGAGACACTTGCAGAGGTCACCACTTTTAAACCATGTGGAATGATCAAGTTTGCCCCTAACCTCAAATTCCTGTTTTGTTGGTGCAAACCAGTAAAGTCTATCAGGGAGACTCAGAGACACCCAAGAGGTATTCGCTTGGACGTCACTAAGTTGCCTTGCGATTCCGTTTCCTTGAATGTTGTTAACGATAACGTTGACTATGAACCTTGGGATTATGAATCATCCAGCAAAGCTGGATTCTTGATGGGAGATCCTGTATCATGTTTGTTCAGGCGTTTCCAGGACATTTGGGGACCGTTCTGGATTCTTGCAGAGGGGGCGTTTGCGTTTGTCTTACACAAACAAAGTGTATTGAGGGGATTCCCTGGAAACAACTGCATTGCCATGTTCAGTCCTGATGAAATGAAAATTGCAAGAACCACATCTTGTAGAAGACTCCGTCATGTTGCCTTTGCTGTAGATGGCAAGTCCGTTTATGGTGTCACTGAGGACAAGGAAGCAGCAGTGGTATCTTTTGATGTATCAAGTGGAAAACTGAACTCAAAGATCGAGACTAGTACTTGTCGTGATCTACATTATCCTAAACCGCCTTTTAGGGCCTTAAACGATTCTGACAGGGGTATTTGCCTTGTACCAGTGACCAATGGTGTTCTTTTGAAACAGCGTCATCGTAGGACTGCTGTTCAGCTATGGAATTTTGAGTTGTCTCAGCAAGTCCGAAGTTGGCCCAGTTTATGCGAGGTTACGTATATGATGCCAGTCACGGACCAATGTGTAGCATGTGTGGGCAGAAGGTTTGAAGTGAGCATCTTGGACACATTAAGTGGAGACATAGTGAAGACCATCTCACTTTGTCATGAGGGATACAAGTCAACATGTCCAATTATGTATAAAGAAGCCATAGAATGTAACAGTAAATTTCAGCTGTTATCCACCGCTCGTGACTCAGTTCAGCTGTCAGATGATAGAGGTTGTCTGTGGAAGAGAGATTTTAAAGATTCTCAGTTGTACTCGTGGAATCTACCTGGCATGTTTTCTCCAACGGAAAAGTTTGTCCTAATCTCAGCAAAGTCCACCCAGAGTAAGCAAGAAGTACACGTGCTTGATGCATTTTCAGGAGACATTCTCCGCACACTATGCACAGTTGATCACATTTTTAACTGTGCATTTGTGAGTGAGATGGAATGTGTTATCGACTGCCAAAATAAATCGGAAAGTTTCTGTCTTCGGTTGTTCAATATTATGACTGGAGAATTGCTTAGTTTACTTTATATGGAAAATAGGCCGGCATGTTTGTCTTCCTTTCCACAGGAGGGTTTGATCGCTATTGGCCTTTGGCAGTCCAAACGTATGTGTGCATTTGTCGCAGTGAAGCGGCCGCGAGACAAAGCCTGCAGGAAAGCAAAGGTGAGAATTGCGTTCGTTCATAAGAGTGATTTCAGTGGTTTTTTTTACTTTTTTGTCAAACACTGTCAAAGTAATATTGAGAAAGACACTGCTTGTTCCTCTACGGTTTTATGTGATTTACACATCGTGTAGCGTTCACTATTGCTAGTGACAGCAGAGGTACAGCTGTGAGACTGTATTGTTTTGACACTTTGTTTATGAATGTAACATTAATGAATATATGAATTTCATATATTGGAACTGCGGAATGAAGAAATAAATACAAACAACATCATCCCAGTTAAAGACGCAAGTGTTGCGATTGTCCAAAGAAAGCCTGAAAACTGAACCCTGGCCTCTGCGATACCTCTGCAGCGCTCTAACTACTCAAGTATAGCAAGCCAACAGGTTTTCTTTTTGCAGCTGTATAAGTTGCGTCTTTGAATGATGCAACTTTATCACGTACAGGGTTCGTACAGAGTCTTGAATTCTTGAGAAAAAGTCTTAAAATTTGCAAAGGAAATTTGTGGAGCTGGGAAAAGTCTGCAAAAAAGAGGTCAAGTCTGGGAAAATGGTGAAAAGTCTGGAGATTCTTTGTTTTAAAGCTACAACAAATGCTAAATAAGTGAAATGTTTTTCACTTGGTCATCAAATCTCATTTAATATCGGCCTGTAGCCAAGACATTCAGTATAAGTATGAGAAGTTTCAGAACTCAGTGTGTTATGTCCACATTGTACCTTGGGTACTGTACGATTGCCTTGCATCATGGAAAAAAGATTGGTTTCTGCGTTTTCGAATGTCTTTATTGATTACCCATTTGATAACCATGAGTCTGGAAAAAGAAATTATTGTCTTGGAAAAACGTTTGGAAAAAGTCTTTGGATCCAAGAATCTGTACGAGCACTGTACATAGTCTCATGATTTGTGAACAGCGTAAAATATGATGTAGTGATTACGCACGAGTTTCTTAACAGGTTAACCCGGTAAAGAACTTGATCCCTTTTTGATGGCTGATCCGTTTGTGCATCGGAATTTATTGGCCGCAGCTGAGCCAGCATGTAACTGTTTGTAAGGGAAATGAAGCGTTCACGACAACTGAAATCATTGCGAGGAGTTCCTTAACCAAGTGCTCTATCTGTTTAATCACTGTTACAAGTCGTTCCATGCCTTATTTGGGACAAATGACGATGTCTTCAGTTTGGAGGGTTTGATTGTGATGGTAGTGTGTTGTTTTTCGGCTTTAAGTGAACGTTTTGTCTCATGATTGTCTTTTCTTTCTTTGGTTTTTAATCTTACAGGCCTTGAGTGGTTCACAATGATGGATCTGAAGCTTGATCTGCATCTTCCAAAGCCAAGAGGTGAAGTGAACAGTGCAGCGTGAAAACCTCATAAAGGGATGGTTCGGAACATATACAATGGAAACCACATTAACATACAGGGTTTTCTGTTAATGTCATTGAATCACTTTTGGCAAGTGGCATAGAAAAGTCCTGGAACTGATGCTCTGTATCATAATCAACAGCTTAAGATTTGAGGCGTTGCTAGTTGTAAGGGTAGTTTTAGTTAAGGGCAAGATTTAATAAAACAGAGAACCATTAAGGAGTAAAGTACACCGCTGTCGCACGAAGCAGCGTAAGGTTTATACTTGAATAGTTGTCAGTGAGTATCGGTCTTAGTGTAAGCAAGCAAAAGAAAACATCAACCGAACTGATGTTCTGTACCATAAATAGTAGCTCAAGGTTTAAATTTTCTGATGTTTGAAAGTTGCTTTTTTTGGTCTAAAACTTAGTAATTGCCGTTTAGGAACACCACCGACAGAACTTGTGTTCAGTATCACAATCAAATAGGTTAAGGTTGTACAGTCGAACCTCCCTTAGCCGACCAAACACAAAGCGAAGACTTAGTGATCGCTTACGAGAGCCAAACCATCTGCTTTCTAGAAGAGAATTTATTGCGGGTAATTTCTAAGTTATGGTATGCGTAGTTCGATGTCGTCATTGAAAGTTCTTATACCTGTACTCTGAGTAGCGTAGTACACACTGTGAACATAGAGAAGAAACCATTCGTCAAGCTTACAAGGGGCTCAAAACAATGGACAGTTAAAAAACTGCCATCTCAAGAAGTGATCGTGTCGGGTCGCTTACGACAACTGGTCGTTTAATTAAGAGAGGTTTCAGCTATAGGGTTTTGACTGGTAAACTTTTGCCGTTTTGGATAGGTCGTCGCCTATGGTAGGTGGTCGCTTATGAGATTCGTTCGCACATAGAGGTTCGAACGTATTTAAAGGGTTCTCTGTTGATTTTCTTTCGAGTAAGACAGAACAACAATAGAATTTGTGGACGGTATCATAAGGGGTAGGTACTCAAGTTTTTTTAAATGCGCTGAAGAGTTGTCTGTTGGTCTAACTCTGAGTATTAGCAGTCACGACAGAAAAATGAACAACTAGACCTCATGTTCAGTATCATATGCAGTAGGTCAAGGTTTATGTAGATGCAGATAATTTCAGTTGCAACAAAAATCTTAAGAGCTTATTCTCGAAGAGATATTTACTGGTATCATGAAACGACCAATGTAAAAGGAGCGCCCACAGAAGTTATGTTTACTTGTAGTATCAAACTGATTAACAACTAGCTCAAGCAGGTTTATATATTTAAAAAGTTTTCTTTAAGTACTGACTTCGTATTCACTGGTGAAAGAAAATCTTCCAGCGTTTCTAAAGAAAACAACCACGCTTGCGAGAATTATTTCAGATGGAGTAAAAGGAAAAAACAAATCAAACAAACAAAACAGAACCAACCACTAGAGAAATTCTCCTTTTACATGTCCGAGCCGAGTAGAAGCAGTCATAAATAATGCCTTTATCTTCTCTCGTATTTTTTATTAGTTCAAGAAATGATCTACGGTCCGCGGCTCATTCTCTCTTGGAGTCCTCTTGCTTTCCTGGAAAAGATAGAGAATGCGGCAAATGCAAACTTGAGTGTAGGATGTAACCACTTTTCCATCGGTATCTTAAACACTGCTGTATATCTCTACATTGAGAGAAATGCCGCGGGAAATTGGGGAAACACGGGGATGTGCCGCTGGACCGGGTATGGTTTTTGACCTTTCTGTCCTAAACAGGATTTATAATTTCGTGTGAGTCTATCAAAAGGGTATTACCTGAACGATTGATTTGATTTGCTACGTGAATTTTGTTTGTACTCCAAGTATGCAACAGCAATGACTATAAAGTGAATTTGCTCTTAAATGACTTTAAAACAATATGGCCTGCATTTTGTTCTTTGTTCTAAACAGGGTAATAAAATTGAGGGTGTTGTCCTACTGCAGGGTATGCATTTTAGGAATTGTTTTTTCCTAACCAGGGTCAGGGTTTCAAAAAACCGTAAGTGACTCACCTATACCCAAATATTGGTCGAGTACCCCCCCCCCCCCCCCCCCCCCCCCCCCCCCCACCCCCACCTCCCCACACCCAACAAAAACAAATCACAAATCTTCCCCCCCCCCCCCCCCCCCCTTAATCTCCCTAAAAATAATAAAAAAAAAAGACCAGTACAGGTGAGCACAGGAAGTGAGAGATGTGTCGGGGGAGTCGCGAGTCTAAAAAAAAAAAACAAAAA